ATCTCTGTAATTTTAGGGGCACATAAACACACACACAAACACACACACACACACGCACACACACACACACACACACACACACCACACACACACACACACACACAAACAACACACACACACACGCACACACACACACACACACACACACACACACACCACACACACACACACACACACACACACACACACACACACACACACAATCGCAGAGACTGGGTGTAAAGTGTTCAGGGACAGAGCTGCCTAGTAACAACCCCTCAACGTCTCGGCCCCACGTGAGCATTCATTCACTTATTCTAGTTAACGCTTAATCAATGTGTAGAGCTGCAAATTCAATTGAAACACATCCCGTTACAGTTTTCTCTAATGTTTTTCTACGCTAACTAAAAGTCAGTGGAGTTGGAGTACTGTAGGGATAATTGAACTTTCACATGACATTTCCTTACCCTGTTTCAGGGTAAAATATGGTTGTTAATTACTGTATAGGAAAATACATTTTCAGGAAAGTTTAATTCACAGTTAACATAGTTATTTCCGGTACACAACCTTACACATTTTTCTTTTCTTAGAGCATTTTTTACCACACTAAGCTAAGTTTGTAACATTTTAATGGCTCCTTGCACATCCACTTTGCGTGTATTAGTTCAACTACAGTAAAGTCAATAATGCTTATACATAGTATGACAGAAAATCAAAAACAGACAAATCATGAGTCCATGGAAATGAAGGTATTCAAACTACAATTCTTTCATGTGCACAAGTTGTTGATGTTGGCTTAAAACAATCTATAAATCACTCACACAACTACAAGGCTAATGTATATGATCAGGACCTCCAGAAAAGCTTTAAATAGACAAGTTGTTGCATCTAACACTCTGTTTCCAAGGTAACTTTGATCCTCAATAAATTCAAGATTTATATATTTATCTTTATTTAATCACCGGCTACATTCAGGACTGGACATAACTGTTTCTCATCAGGCCGTATGAGGACAGCAGTGAAAAGCCTCTGCTGTACATCAGCATGTGGAGTGTGTGGGTGAGCGAAGGACTCATGTCACAGTGAATATGTGAGAGGCAATCTGAAATAAGAGCACTTCAGTGGTTGATGATGTAAGTAACAGTCAGAAAAGAGCTGTTGAGCATAGTTCATAAGGTCTTTTGAGATAATGTGTTTGTGTTGCCGTCCTGATGATATCAGACCAATACACGTAAGGACTGGAGGTGTGACGGACTCTCAGGTGTTAACCCTTTCAAGCTTGAACTGCATTCCTGGATGCAGAGATATAGTTTGCCCTTTTCATGTATAATTTTAAAATGTTCAGAAGATTTGAAGCAGCTGAGTGAGAAATTAAAGAGTTCGAGGAGTTTAACAAAGAATGACTGTGTCAAGTAATAGTCATTGTACAAAATATGTACTTGTACTTTTTACATAACTGATTTGCTGCTACCATCCCATTTGTATGTTTTTAATGGGATATTGTGTTTATTGAATGTACTTTTACTGTAATTGAGACAAGTCAATGACAAATAGTAAAATAAATTAATCTATAGTGAAATAATAAATATAGCACTATTTCAATTATACATTTTTATTTACCAAGAATTAACTGTGCTTTTGCCACATTAATATTTACACCTTTAAAACTGTGATTATTTTTATATTTTTGTATTAAATGGGTTCCTAGGGCTGCAACTTGTTCAACATGAAATGCCACAAAATCATTGTTTTAATGAAGTACATGTAAAAACCTGCAAATAGTTGTGATAAATAGGGCATTAATACTATAGCTCATGTTGATCCTGTGTGGGCTGAAATGCTGAGCAGGTGGAAACTTTGACCTGATGGTGGGGTCAAAGGAAAGTCATCAGGATTCAAACTCAGGGACCATCAGGTTCTGGGTCTACTACACAAAGTCATATTGAGACCCGTTTGCATTCTTCAGATTTTCTATTTATAATTATTTAGGTTTAAGGTTTGAAGAGGTAAAGCTTTCCGGCATTTGACATGAAAAAAAGAAAGATCAGGGGAATATGTGTATTTCTTCTTCTGTTAATTGTGATGTAAGACCTTAAATATGCAAACACATTACTGTAATATAGCTTTAAGTTACAGTTCAATCAGGTACATTCAGAGAAGTGTTGAGAGAAACAGAGAGGGTAAGAGTTTGAAACACAGCAGGAAAAGCAATTAGGCTTATCGCTTTCCCCCTGCTTTCCTAAGCTTCACACACATAAAGTCCGACACACACACAAACAAAACAATGCATGTGCAGTTGCCTGTCTGGGTCCAACATGCGCAGAACGTAGCCAGATCAGGTTGCTATTTAACACCGTATAAAATTACAGCGCTAGTCAGGTGTCAGAACAAATTGTGTTCTTCTAGGTCTGTGTGTGTGTCCATACTGGAGTGTGTGTGTGTTCACTTGTGTAAACCTTCTCTCCTGCCGGCTGTCAGCCAGTTACTTAACTGACGTGTTTCAGTCAACATGCCTGATTTAATAAGGGTTAACTATGTTAAAACACACACACACACACACACACACACACACACACACACACACACACACACACACACACACACACACACACACACACACACACACACACACACACACACACACACACACACAATTAACAGAAGCGCCAGGAGGGGAGCTCAGAGTTCCACCGTCAATGAATGCAAAACTGATCTCTTTACAGAGATCATGTCTCATAACATTTCCAGAAAACCTTCTCCTAAGAAGAGGTCAAAGGTCATGCCTTTATTTCGTTCATTCATTCTCACTTTCCTTTTGGTTGTCCTTTGAGGGAAACATTTCCAGTTTGCAAGATAAAATGTCCGAAAAAGAACTTAATTAATGATGAACCAAATAAAAAATATCTAAAATCAAGGTCCGCTCTCTTGTTCACTCCAGATCTGTGTATCTGAAGGGATCCGTCAGAGGATGCAGTTGATCTATAAGTTGTATACTTTACACAAGTACTTTCATTTTATGTTATGTAAAAAACAATGATTAAAACTTAAAAAGACACATTACAAATATTGCTATCTATAATATGCTGTGTATTTCTTTAAAATGTGCCCTTTTGTATGATACATATTTTACCTTGGGTAGTCTTTAGTATATTTTGATGCTGCTCATGTGCCCTTTTACTTTCCATGTGTGACAACCCCCAGTTATGTCCACCTGTCCACCTCTATCTGTGAAGGAAGTCTATGAGAGTATACATGTAGTACAGTATCAGAGGTTTATTGAACTTTAACTCCATGTTTACATGTATTTGTCTGTCACTCAAAGAACATACATTTTTACCCATACTAAGTCCATTGAAAGAGAGAACTGTAGTTTATTTTTAGAGAACTGTGAACTGGTCCACTCTTTGACATTTACATTTTCACACACAATTAACTCTGTTTGGAAATCCCCTTACTTTATATGTTTAGTTGGATTTGCTATGCCAACCAGTTGAATGTTCATCTGATTGTCTCATTTATCAAATTAAGTGAGTCCCTTGGCGGAGGATGAAGACAGAAAAATGTGACACTCTTCCTAAGGAGAGCGGTTGCTTTTTATGTTGTGGTAACAACTTTGCACCCAAGGGAGAGACCTTCCCCGTTATCTGCACTCAATAATGGGATCAGGTTTCTATTTATACTGGCTCTCAATCTTACTTTCTCTCTGCTCTTTTCACTCTGACTGTCACTCGGCCAGCTCTTACAATAATTATAGCTGCTGGCCTTCATAAAAAGGCTGTTACAGAAATAAACCACGGCCTCAGTAGACGGCATGGACAGTTATTTGAGAGATCGAGATGCCTAGGTAAATCATACCATCTGGTTGTACCCGGGACCAGTCAGATACTCGAGACAAGTCAAATATATTTTATTTTTGCCTCAGAAGGTGCATATAATTGACACTCTCTCCAGCCCTCACTTCAGATAAGAACAAACTCCCTGTCTCTCAGTACAGACAGACATGCAATAGATGATGTATGTGTACAGAATATTAATGATACTCACAATGTGAAAATGAATGACAAAGATGGATCCAGGAGGACAGAGATCCAGATCATGTGGAATGAAGTGCAACATGTCAATTTCATATACAGAACTATGTCCTGGATAAAATATGTAAAAAAAAGAAAGAAATCAAAGGTAAACTGACTAAAATGCCATTGAAGTAGTCTGGTTAAAATGCTTTATACACATTTCCCAAATTATTTTGTATATACATTTCTAACACCATGAAGTAAAGCCTTTACCATAGGCCCTTATAACATAAAACGACTGTTTTGGCAGGAAACAAAGAAACATAAGAAACATAAGAAATTAAGAACAAGAATGCTCCTCCTGTTTTAATTAATGTTGGGCCAAGTCTATACAAAATGAGGTAGGCCTATGCATATTGCAACACGTTTTAAGAAGAAGAAAAAACCTAAAACCTCAGAAACGGCATGGTTCACATACATTAGTAATTTACTTTATCATCTGTTAAATGTAAATCCTTATCATAATGAATGAAGGGAACATGTGTCTTTTAAAATAGGCTTTAACCCTGTTTTACTTTTAAGTTACCATTTTCCTTTTTTACAACATCTGTTTTAACCATTGCTTGATCTGTGAATATTTTACATCCACGTTTTTAGGCATAACGCTAGCTCAGGTCTATCAATGCTTTTACATTTTGTCCAAAGTATTTTATAAATTCTTATTTCAATATTTTGAGCCATTCACATTATTTTATGGACAATCTAACAGTTTGGTTAATGTAGGCCTTAGTCTGTTGTCATGGTTACAGTCTACTTGTTAGGTTTTTTTCTCCCATCTTGATGCCCTAAAAATAACACTAATAATATTAATAAACCTTTCATGTTTACACACAACAGTTTAACAATAAGCAGCGTCCTCTGCTGGTATGAACCACTAACTACAGGAGCAGGGGCAAACTAGGCTGTTCGTTTAAATAAAGTTTTGTTTTGTGTACGTACAGAGCCGCTCAAACATGGCTACCCTAGCAACCACACGCTGCGCTGATAAACATTGCTCGGTAGGAAGCTATCAAAAATCTATTTACTGCATATTTTTGTCAAACTGTATTAGTTAGCTAGTCGACAACATTTTAAATATCTCAAATGTTATATAAATATCAGTGAAAGCAGAAGATTGACGAACTCACGTATTACAGGAGAGGGAGGCTGCTTGCTCTCTTCATTGTTTTGTCATTATTCATTGTAATTATCAATAAGTGTAATTATTGAACTGTAGGCTTATAGAGAACATGTTGCTCCTACAAACTGCTGTCCGAAAACAGATGCCTTGTGTTAATGTAGACTGTCTATGCTTACACTCTTCTCTGAAATCTATTCAAATTGTACTTTTATTTCCCCTTTCCAAATGTCTTAATTTATTTTATAACATATTTAAGTTTAAATTGATGGAATAAATGTCGTGGGACCAAAACTAGTCATGGTTACTTTAATTATGTTCCTTGTTAGTCTTAGGTGTTTTGTAGGTTTGAGATACTGTATTGATGTATAATGCTGCATGCACTTGGACATGCAAGTGTTAATAATCTTAGATATTCAAAAGTATATCTGCTTGTGACTGGGCCCCTATTCTGAGGATGTATTAGGGTGTCCCATTGCACATATCTCCATTAGGCTATGTATTGTAATTGTAAACAAAACTGACCTAAATTGATTTGTCCTGCGGTTCCAAATTGACAAGGGCTCATTACTCCATCATAGAACACAATTTAAAGGAAGTTTTATGCAAAATTGATTAGAAGTATACCTGTTGTTAAATTTCACATTATAATCTGGTATTGTGTTATATTTTCCCTAAATGAATTTGAGCAGGGAGAGGGAGACTCCAGCCCTGTCCAGCAGCCCTGCTCATCACCTCCTGTCAGCAGTGAGGATCAGAAGCTCGCAAGGCCGAATGTTGCGCAGTTTCTCAGGGAGGCCGAGAGAAATAGGAGGGAGTAAGTGAAGTACAGCTACTCAGAGTTATTTCACTTTAAGGTATACATCTTTAAACACTAAACTTTTAATGTAGAGATACAGTGGTTCAGTATATGGTGACAAGAACCCCCTACAATAAAATCCAACATTATCACAAGTGTGTTTTAAACATAGTTTTATTTTCTTGTCCAACCCTTTGTTTCATCTGTGTGTGGGTGTAATGTCTAGCCCTTAAGCACTTCACTCACATATTTTGTATTATATTATAAATAATGTTCTCATACTGGCTCAACAATAGCAAGAACTGATTTGGTGCTGCTTGTCACCACTGTAAATGAAACAAGCAAACCCATATTAAACGTTTACTTTCAATATTAATATAGTTATTATTGTTCAATATTTGTACTGTATATAACTTTACCAATCACTAAACCATTCAATCACAACAAATAAATCCTTAAACTTGTGAACAGTTTAAACTTTATTATCAGTGCATCCTCACCGGTCAATAATGTTATAAACCCATTTTACTCTATTCTTTCTTCTCAGGATTGAAAAGTTGGAGAAAGAGAGAACACTGAGTGTCCAGTGCAGAAAGAATGGGTGGACTGATGTGCCTGGAGAACTAGAAGAGTATGAGAAATTGCTGGAGGAAGAAAGAAATGCTGAGAGTGGGTCTTTTTTGACTACAGTACCCTAATATGTCCCACAGATGTTTTATAATGTGTAAAGTTGACAAGTCCTGTGATTGTAAAACCATGTTGAAGGAACCATGCACATTCAACACTTTACCTCTTTGACAGAGCAAACTGCCATTCATAATCTTCTTTGCATTTGATTCTTTAGAAATCCATCTTCAAAAGCAGCTAGTGAAGATTCATAACGGTGTGAAGAAATTTCAGAGACAGCTAATAGATGTGAAGCCGACTCCTGAGTGTAAGTGTTGTATCTCGCAGTGATTCTTTACCATTCATTCAGCCATCTTGTGAAACAGTCAGTACTTTTTAGTCATCATTTTTATAAACATTTGTGCCATGTCGCTTCTTCAATATAACATGGTATTGTCAATAAAATGGCCATAATTTCTTTGAGCAGTACACTACTTTTCAATACCGTATTGAAAAGTAGTGTACTGCTCAAAGAAATTATGGCCATTTTAGCGTCATAATCATGTACCATGAGAATCAGATTGTTAATAATATTTCTGCATATCTATTTTCAGTGATTGAAAGACTGAAGGAAATAATGACAGAGGTGGAAATCTCCATTAACAACCTAAAGGAGGAAGAGCGGTCATGGTAATCAGAAAAACAACTGTATTATAAATATTACTTACACACCAATACATCTTTAATATAATAAAATGAAAAATATAAATAAATAAAAACACCACCGCACTAACATGTTAAACCATTAAAAATGACAAGGTCATAAACACCCAAGTAGGCAGAAAAAGTGACAGCTTCTGATCAGTGTTGGCTTAACTTTAGGAATGAATATTTGTGATCTCATGAAAATACAATAAATAGTGGTCTTTTTTGTTTCTCTGATTCCCTTAGCGTTGAGGAACTCTTGAAAGAAGAGAGGACATGCAGACAGGAGATCACGGCTTATGAGAAAAAGATTGAAAACCTGAGCCTTGCTGTCAAATCAGACCTTAAACTACACACAGCTCCCACTGTTAAGGTCTGCTGCTCTTCTTATATCCCTCCTCGCTATATTTCCACTGTTTGGCATCGTTCATGCAATGAAACAAGTTTGTGTTCTAGCAATAAATCTTACAATTAATGCAATCAATAAATATCACAAGATTTTGCTGCTTTTTACCTCTTGAGACTATAAATAAATAATAAGAAAGTGTGAAAAACACATGTATTAAGTATTATAAGAAGTCAAAAGAGATTTAGAATTCTGCGGCATTTTATTGATAACATTGTTTTTTCCATAAGACCAACCTCCCAGCAGAGGTCCTAGCAGTGGAGGTATTCCTGCTGAAGACAGGAGGCCTGTGCGGAGGCTGGGACAAATATGACCACCAAACCTTCCTTAAAGTAAGAAGTTATTTTAATTCAGTCTTAAAAACTTGCCCTTTAAATGCAATTTTTGTATCTACTGCCAACTTCCACTCACAGGTCATTGCACACAGTCACTGAACACAATCCATAAACAAAAATGTGATTGCTTCATGCAACTACACATATGCCAAGCCAAATATCGATAACAGCAAGACACCTCTCTAAATGAGTCTAAGCTGTTTGATTTCCAGGTCTGGACAAAGCACAGCGGGCAACAAGTCTACAGGAAAGAGGCCAAACTGTACCTGCCTGGTAAAACATTGGAGGAGATAGAGCAACACGAGGACTGGCATCAGGAGCTGATCTACCTACAGGACAGTAAGAGAGAGGTAGAGACAAAACATGTATAACTTTAAATCAAAAGCAAACCTTGTTTTTGGTTCCATTTGTGTTAACTGTCTTCATACTACACCCAGGCCATTCAGCGGTGGAAAGACAGCAAACATCAGAAACGCCAGAACAGAATACAGAGTCAGGAGGCAGAAGAGGCAGAAAAGAGTGAGAGGGAGGCCAAAGTCCAGGCTAAGCAACACAGGTGAGTCGGAAGTATAGCAGTATAGAACTAAAGACAAGAAAGACACGCAGACATTGACTCCATGGTTAAAGGCAACAAGTCATAATATCCCACCAGAACTGATGAGCACCCTTAGTGTTTCATAGGTCACCTTAAATTGAGGTGAAATTGGTCGGCTTTACTTCCTAGTTTCCCTAGTCTTTGTTATTGTCACTTTATTGTTTTTTTCTGTTTCAACGTGTTCTGTCCTCTTTCTGTTTAAGGACTGAGCAGGAGAGAAGGGAGGCAGAGTTGCAACTGGAGAAGTGGAGGGAAGAAAAGCAAAGGATCGAGGAACAGGAAGAAGAGCAGAGGCTGGCTGAGGAGACACAAAGAGGAAAAAGGCAAAGGTGCTCTAGCATGTGTGACAAAAGTAATGTGTGCTTATTTCTCATCAGAGATAGCGCTTCTGTACTACTCTGAAATCAATACACATGCATACAGTGATGTGAATAGGTGCAGGGTTGGTTACCTCAGGAAATATTAATGTATAGTATTTATAAAGCATTATTTCTGCTTTCAGGAAGAGCGGCGCCGGCAGATGGAAGTGAAGCTGAGCATTGAGGAGCAGCTGCGACTGAAGAAAGAGGAAGAGGAGGAGCAGTGGAGGAGGAAGAGAGAGAAGGAACAGAGAGAGATGGATGAGAGAAGAAGGGAGGCAACCATAGGAATCCAACGCTTTAATGAAAGGGTACAAAGTTAGTCTAAAAATCACAGAAACACAAGTTGTTCGTCTTTTTGCCTGGTGTTATGTCTATTAGAGGCAAGGCTTTCTGACCAGAGCACAGTTTTTGTTATTTGAGGTTGTGCAATGTATTTAAGGGAGGTGAGGTCACTTTACTGTGTTGAATAAAAATCATGTCTCTGCCTTTTTTCTGCAGGATCTTCTCAAGGTGGAGGCAAAGCTTCAGGAGAGACAGCGGAGGGAAAGAGAGGAAGAGGAAAGACAGAGGAGAATCACTGCTAAGTTGAAAGAAAAGGTAAGGCTTGTAAAATTCATGTTAATTGTCTCTGAAATGGTTAACACAAAGACAAACATTATAACCACAAACCTGCAAATCCTTAATATATTAAACAAACAGAGTTGTTGGTTTAGTAAAGGTTGATGTTTATGCTTCATCCAGGTGGATGGTAACGTCAGCAGAGACCCCTCCAGGCTTACCCGTCCCACCAAGGGATGGGAGGAACGAATGAAACACATTGGACCTACAGGTGGAGGGCCTGTCCTACAGATGTTTCACAGGTCTGATTGCAACAACTACTAGGACAGGTTTCTGTTCAACAATTCTTTGAAAGATTAAAGGTGATTGAAGCTGAATCACTGAAATGTGCTGTCATTTTGTTGCAGAGCTGTTCCCACTTGGAGACAAGGCCTGTGATGAGCATCAATGGTCAACTGAACAGTCCTGAAACACATTCAGAATGTGCCTTTTAAATCTACTGTTTACTGCTTTACATAGAATGTAATTACATTACGCAAAACTACTATTTTAAATAAAAGTTTAGCCTCTTACTTGCTGCTAGCTTTTAATCCCAAACTAAGAGGTATGATCACACCTACCACATTGTTTTTTTGTTTGTTTTAGGATTTATTTAAGGTCTTATTGAGCTCTGGAAGTGTTTTAAGTCTACTAATTACATTTTGAATGAAATCACATCCTGATTTAATTTGTGCTGCCTGTGTTCTTAATTTCTCGTTTATTATTTTTCATCTTGTCCTTTATTTATTTTATAAACTATTTTGTTATTTTATTGTATTTTTTCTCTCTGTGAAGCTCTTTGTACTCTGTTTTGATAAGTATTCTAAAAATAAAATGTATCTTTATTTAAAAAAACCTAATTTGCCTTTTTGTGCCATAGATATTTTGTATACCAGAGAGAGAGAGAGAGAGAGAGAGAGAGAGAGAGAGAGAGAGAGAGAGAGAGAGAGAGAGAGAGAGAGAGAGAGAGAGAGAGAGAGAGAGAGAGAGAGAGAGAGACTTGCTCTCTTCCCACTTTGAGTCAGCTGTCAAAACAACACTCTTATAAATAGAGAGAATAAAATATATATGTTGTACATTGCTCTACAGTGTGAGCTTTTATTTTGAAAAACAAACGTACCGGAAAAGATTCCTCATAGGTGCGGATGCAAAGATGGCGGAAGAAGAGAGTCAGTTTGAAGAATTTGAGCAAATCGATTTTTTAAGAGATAGACATGTACGATTCTTCCAAAGAACGCTTCAGGTGTTGCCGGAGAGGTACGCCTCGCTGGAAACTACCAGGTACATTTTACTGGAATGGAAATTGTTTCTGTAATTCATATACTGTACTGAATAACTTGTCTAGCATTCAAGCTAACTGTGGTTCACTGCTACCCGTTTTGAATGGAGGCTAGTGCTAATTAGCTTAGCGGGCTAACTGTGGTTCACCCGTTTTGAATGGAGGCTAGTGCTACTTAGCATGGCTTGCAGCAGTGGCATTGAAGTTATTATGACAGATTGGCTGTAACGTTGGTTACACAATAACTAACGGTACAGCTGGGCACGACGCCATGTTAAACGTATGATAAAGCGTAAGTAGGATTCACTATTACATGAATAAAGCTTATTTGAAACTGAACTTAAAGCTAGATGGACTGCTTACTTGGATATGTTTTTCAATGGTTAACTTAGCGAGAGACATTTCAGAAAATAACATATTTGACTTATCTCTCCAGTAAGAGCTAAACTAAGCAAGCAGCTAAAAGTCAATATATACTCTTAAATTGTGTTTTATTACACATTCATCTAATCTGGTGTATATATTTGACTATGTAATCCCTTTGTTGCTTGAATTTGTGAATCCTTATATCCATTAATTTAAAACAACTGTGTCCAAAGATTATTTTTAGTTTGATTCAAAACATTTGTTTTAATACGTATAGTATTTTAATGTTTTGGGCAAGTATCTAGCAGTACACCTTTTGAAATGTTTAGATCACATGACAAATCACACTTTTAACCATAGTCAAAGTCAGGATAAAGAAAACCCTTAGGGCCTACTAATTATTGTGATTATTAAAAGTCTTCCATATTATTATTGTTTACATTGCATAAGTGTCGATATGTTTTCATATATTGTTATGATTAAATAGGTACCCAATACTTGATGTTGCTTTTTGGGCACATGGGAATACTTTTTTTCTTTCTAAAAAGGAATAGAAAAAAACCAGTGATCACATGTGCCCAAAATATTAAATAAAGTATGATTAGAACAAATCACTTTTAAACCAAATGGTGTGACATTTTGGCCTATTTCTGGACTGATTTCAGGTGCAGTCACAACTGGTTTACATTAGTGAAAATTAACAAGATTGCTATCTGCCTTCTTTTCAGGTTAACAATCATATTTTTTGCCCTGTCTGGTCTGGATGTGTTGGACGCCCTGGATGTGATTGATAGGAAGACCATGATTGAGTGGATCTACTCATTACAGGTTCTGCCCACAGAGGACGGTAAGTGTCATAGCTTATCACTTTTTCCACAACTGACTATAAATAAGATCAGTTTAAACAGTTACATGTTGCAGTGTAAGGCATTGGATGTATGCTTTATTCATAAAAAGGTTCACATGACAGAGCAAGTCAAAAATGTATTCTCAAAGCACCCTTATAGATACTGTCTTTTTACGTTAGAAAGCCGGATCATTTGGCTTGGCTCTCTTAAAGCGCCGGCTGTTTCGGCTCCCAAACGGCTCTTAATGTTACCACAGTTTACCACGGAGCCTCATGCCCCGGCCACACGAGGACGAAAACGGCTAAACGCATAGGATTGACGCAATCGCAAAAAAGCTTCCGTCCACACGCAATAGTCATCCGGATAGTAGGCTTGTTTGAGACGCGTTGCGGCTCGCCTCGAAAGTAGACGAGAGTAGCCGATCGCAGCCGGGGGAGGTCTCAAAAAGCTCGCCTGAAGTCGGACAGCTACGAGTCGGCTTCTTCTTCTTCATCTTCTTCTTCGCCTTCTTCTTCTGCTTCTTCTCTCGGTTATTTGGCGGATTGCAAACAACTTTAAGGTGCATACCGCCACCTCCGGAGTCGGCTTGACTCGGTTTGCATTTATAAAGAATGCACACATGTGTTTAATCGTTAATGTCAGATATGTACTAAGTAAATACATTTGTTCCTGCTCAAGATTAGATTCAACTTTATTGTTATTGCACATATTACAGGTACTGAGACAACGAAATGCAGTTTAGCTTCTAACCAGGTGCAACAAGCAGTAAAGTGAAATGTACACAATCTACAGAATAAAATATAGAATGAATTGAATGATGAATAAACAGTGAGGGGTATGAATACACTAGATATCAGCCTGTGAGCAGTATGAACAGTGTGTATGAATATGCTAAGATATATAAAGTATGAAAACGGTAAGCAGTGCAAGTATAGTATAAAATATATGGATATTAATTTCATTATGATAAACATTGTGGAACAATGATGAAAAATGGGAATGGATGTGGCGACGTAAAACTGACACAGAACAACAACAAACTTTTGCCGAGCCAATTGGAGAGTTTCATCACCAGCACGTGGTAAAAACCACCAATGAGCGCTCAGCTCGAGATACCAGCGAGTCGTTTCCCATCAAGCATTTCGCTTCCGCAGCCCGTGGAGAGGAACTGCGCCGCCTCGCCTCGCTCTCAAGGCTGCGGGCGTCTTTGTCCCGCGAGATTTCAACGTCTCATGTAGGCGGGCCTCCAGAGCAAGTCGGACAAAATGACTAACCATCATGCAACGCACTAGCAAGACGTTGATCGCAACTGCGCAGGTCTGCGCAGGTCTCGCTTGTCTCAAACAAGCCTAGTGTCTGTCCACACGAGACAGCTCCGTTTAGCTCCAACCGCTGGAGAAGCTGCAGTACATATGCAGGAGCCTGTACGTGGCGCTGTAACTTCCTCCACAAAAGCAGCGAAGAAGCATGGTTGTCATGGTTGCCCTTCTGTTTATTCTCCGCGGTGGGGGCCGAGGGAACCGGGCAGAGTTTTTCGCCAGTCAACGTGTATTAAAGTTGAAATCTTCCGACAAAATTATAAAAGTGCCAGTCAAAGGTCTTCTTTGTTATTTATTGAGCTTTAAAACAAATGAATAACGAATCTATATATTATAATAATAAAATACACGGAGCCTCTCTTTTTCCTCCCTCTCTTCGGACAGCGCCAGTGTCTGTTTCATGCAGCAGCTGATCCAGTAATGAGTGACCCGGCCGACAGTAAAAATAAACATATTTATATCTTGTTTAGGTAGTTTGAGAGGTAATTAAAATAGCTAAGGGTGATGATCTGACTTGAAATGTGTGTTTTACTCCGTTCACCGCCGCATCACAGCGGGAGGAGCTGCAGGTGAGCAGAGCTGCGTGTCTCCGTCCTGTCCGATTAGACTTCACTCGCGTTTAGGTCCATATCGAGAGAAAGATAAATAATCTGAATTCAGTGTGCAGTTTACTTTGACGCGGGGGTGAGCAGCAGAGGTGGGGAGAGGCGGGGCTATTGCCTCATCATTATCAGAAAATGATCGTATAGGGCGTACACACGGAGCCGTTGGACCCCCCCAGAGCGTTGCGTATGCCGTTCTATCCACCTTGGGACCCGTTATCGTTTACGCAGTCGTTTAGTGCCGTATTCGGTCGTCCTCGTGTGGCCTAACGGTCTATATGACACTAAACAGTAACGCAAACGACCGTTTTCGTCCTCGTGTGGCCGGGGCATCAGTTTCGCCGCTGCGAGTCTCCGGCGCTCGCAGCTCATGCGCGTGCTCCACTAAAACCCCCCTTGCTCATGGCGTCCAAATCGCGCACGTTCCGTGTTGTCCTGTGACAGGCACCTTCGATGTCGGGGAAACGATCTTCAATACTCCGAAAAGAATCCCACCAGACTCCTTTGCCCCTCCAACAGAGGGATGTCCTTGTCCTTTTTCCTTTTCGTCATTTGAGGTGATAAAAACTCTCGATCTTCTCTCGAATTATTAATATTTTTGGACGCCCTGTGCGGTGCCCCCACAAGTAGAATCACATTCTGTGGGAAACACTGTACATTTAAGATATATTATATTATCTATATTTACGCTTTGGAGTCTCTGCATGTAGTTGTTTTATAAGGGTCTATAGTTTCATCAGGGTGGGAGAGAAGGAAGACAAACTTCAGAGTTATCAAACTCTGTGAAGTCTGTGAAATATTATTAAACTTTTTTGTTTTTAAACCGAGCTTTCCGGGTCCTCCTTCCCTCACCTGAAACTCTAACTCTGTTCATCAGGGAACGTTTGTCTCTACATTTTTAATTGACTTGTGTTTTTCTGTCTCTAACAAGCAACTCTCAGCCATCTGTTTGGATGCCCATTTATTTAATTATTCAATACAGCAGAAATCATGTTGAGATAGTCGTGCTCGATTGGTCTCTATTTCGTTGCCGCCATATGTTTGGTGTCTGGTTGGGCTTTTGTCATTAAAGGTAAATATGCTGTTCTCATTCATAACACTCCGTTCGATGTCTCACTATGGGATGCGCCTCATCGCGGAGCAAACAGAAGCATCAATCTCATTACGCCAATCCTGATTGGCTGGAGATCTTGACGTCAGCGTCAGGGAAATCACCCCCTATAAGTAGCTTGCGCCACAACGCATGCGCCATTCAAACACCTCTTCTCGCTTCAGAGCACATCTCTATAGTAGCCGGACAAGCTTAACGGTCCAGACTGAACCCAAATATAACTATTTCGGTCGACGGGCGCTCGCCGGCTACTCCTTCTGCTTCGCAAGAA